CAGTCTCCGTCGCGCTGTTTGGCGCCGGGACACACAACCCGCAAACTGACTTGTCGATTCCCTGGGGGGTGTGGCCCGAAACCCACCATTGAAACAAATCGAGGCTGTGCCCTGCGGGTGGGGCCACCGTTTCAAGATCTTTGTGGGTTCTGCGAGGGTGCTTGGAACATGCTAGTTCCAGGGTGTATTGGTGTGAAGGCTCCCTGTGTTCCAGCTGCAGTCTTCAACAGAAATAGCTTGTGCCCTGCGGGGCGGCCAACAGTTGAACATGTTTGAAGATAATTTAGGCCTGTGTTGAGGATCCTTGGAAGGGGCAATCTGGAGGGTGCGGTGGTGTGAAGTCCGAAAAGGTTTTGAAAAGGTGGCTCCTGAACACCGCCGTGCCATGGGGGATTGGCCTCTGGGACAACTTCTGCGCACGTGGGGTAACTTCTGTGCAAGGGGGCTGGGGTAACTTCTGATCTGTGGGGTAACAAACACGCCCGCTTGTAGCATACAATAGCTGCCCACCCCACAATAGTTCGGATCAAAAGGCCCCCTCAATAGTGCAGCGGNNGGCCTCCAGAACAGCAAACCAGAATCCCTGTCTGTGTTCAAAGCCATCAGGCTTCTATATAGAAACCTGAAGTCTCCAGCCTTGAGGGATTCAGGCCAAAGCTCCAACCGACCCGCCACTATTACGCATTTTGGTTGTTTGGGGGGGGGTTAATAATCAGGAGACCACATTATGTCATCATGTCATGTCTCACTTCCATGCTTGTGTCGACAGGAACGTGGTCAATGCCTTCACAGCCGTCAGCCTTGGATTTCCGGTATGTGATCAAAGAAACGTTCATTGGCGGCCGTATTGACAAATCAGGTACATTCATGTGAACGTGTGCCACAGTATTGAACATGCGAGGTTGGTCTCGCAGCATTCGAAGGCCTTGGATTATTATTTGGCCAGGGCCTAGGGACGCTTGCTGCTGGGGTTATGTTGCCTAAAAGTCGACAGAACACATGAGCAGACCGAATTTTAAAATGCTTTTATCTTGGTTGCGAGGTCGGCGACCCAGAAAGGCACGTTTGGTGCGCTGCCAACAGTGTCTGCGGCACAGGTGCTCCCCCCACTGTCGGCAGACACTTCGCAAGGGGCGACATGTGTTGAAGACATGCCTATCCCCCAAAGCGTGGTTGAGTTGGATCTCGAAACCATAAAATTTGTCGGAGGCTTGGCAGCCAATGCCGTGGCTATTCGCCACACTGGCATTCAGGTTCCCTTGGACGAGGCTTTGCCCTATCACTTCGGAACGCGGGATGTCAGCATCGTGAGTCAAAAGCATGTCTTGTCTTGAAGTTTCACTTTTGCGAAGCCGGTGCAGGGCTATGTCACGTGGATCGCATCGAAAGACATCGCCGCTGGTGAAGAACTCCTTTGGATGTACGTTGTCCAGGCTCCATTCATTCAGTATCGAGTTGGCGCCGTGCCTCTAAAGCACGGGACTTGAACAGAAAGGCCTGAACCACTAGTGATCGTCCAACAAGTGTGGTCACTTTATCGGGCTGTTGCCTTCGGTGTAAGCGGATTGGCTCCAGTACCGCGGGTGGTGTTGGTCGTCCCAACGATTGCGATTAGTCGTTTGCTGAATGTTGTGGTGGTCTTGGTTTCGTGAGAATCATGGTTGTTGTGGTGGGTGTGGTCGTCGCGATCGTTGTCCCGTCTTGTGTCTGTCTTGTCCTACAGCTTGCGGCCTGAGTTGGTTTTAATTCAAGCTCCGGTTCGCAACAAGTTCATACTAGCAAAAGTCGCATAACCGTATAGTTCATAAAGCGTCTATATTGTACTCGAAAGCAGTCCCGAAACCGGAGCTGGGGGATCTTATGCCCAATCTTGGACCGGGCAGGCCAAACCTGGTGCACAAATGAAGAAGGCAAAGCCAAAAACCAACGATGGTCCTCCGCAAGCAGAAAAAGCTACAGAGGAGGAGGACTTGCCATACTTGCCACGGGAAAGATTGCGGAACATGTATGATATTTACCCCGATCTTGTTCGACATCTATGCCTCAAAGCACAAGTGTTTACCCCGATCCTGTTCGACATCTATGCCTCAAAGCACAAGTGTTTACCCCGATCCTGTTCGACATCTATTCCTCAAAGCACAACTGTTAACCCCAATCAAAGCACAAGTGTTTACCCCGATCCTGTTCGACATCTATGCCTCAACGCACAAGTGTTCTTGTTCGACATCTATGCCTCAAAGCACACGTATGTTTACGGATCCTGTTCGACATCTAGGCTTCAGACCAAGGGTTTACCCCGATCTTGTTCGACATCTATGCCTCAAAGTAAGTGTCTACCCCGATCTTGATCGACATCAATGCCTCACGATCCTTATGCTAAAAAGGTAGATTCGATCCACGTTCGCCAGCTAAAGTTTGCCAGGATGATGTGCCTTTGGGTGAACTTTTTCCTGGCCAAGATCAAGAAGGCAACAATGACGAGGCCGCAAGTTTACAGCTGGAGCCGAACAAGCAAACATTTTCTTCGTCGCAGCTGTTCGTATGTTCAGTGTGGCATTTCAATCGGCACCGTGCTGATCATTGTCACCACCATGTTCATCACCACCTAATAATCATCACCGGCATCATCGACACAATCACCACAACAACCGCGAGTGTCGTATCCATCGTCAGGATCACCAGCAGCATCACCTCGCTTGCATCATCACTTTCGCCACCATGAAGGTCATCTGCGTGATACAGTGCAGCTGGTGGTTCAAGTACTTAGGACACACGTTTCGGTTGCGTTTTCCTAATGGCTCCCAAGAAGCAAGACGGCGAGACCAAGAAACAGGAGGGCGTTGTCAAGAAGCAGGGTCGCAATGCGCTCAAGGAGATGCGGAAATTCCAAGCAACGAACAGATTCTTGATCCCGAAGAAGAAGTTCAGCTCGCTCGCCAGATCCGTGCTGGCTTCGATTACCGGAAAAGATGACCTTCGCTTCGAGCCTGATGCATTGCTGGCCCTGCAAGCGGCGTCTGAGCAAGAAGCCGTGGACATTCTTGATATCAGCAACAGAATCTGTCTGCATCGCCGCGGTCAGGAAATGAACTCAAAGGATTGGGAGCTGGCTAAGTACATCACCAGTAAGAAGTAGGCGCGGCAACAAGCTGTGTTTTTTTGTGGTACTCGTGTGACGCTGAGATGCACATAGCAAGGTAAACATTTAGAGCAATTTAAGTTTATGCAGCGGCTTATGTCGACACTATATAGAGTTTTCTTGCCGAAGAGTTGTGCATAAGCGGAACATGTATGGTTTGCAAAACATTGCTCCGAGATAATGTTTTGCGTAATGGAAGTTTCCAACTTCTCGCACAAGGGGGCGACAAAAAAAAGAGAGTGCAGATGCGTGCAAGCGTCAGATGTAGCGTTCGATAAAGCAATCCATTGCAGGACATGCTAGCAGCATTCAACTTGTCGCAGGAACTGGAGCGCATGTTGGACGAGGAAGACAAACAGTCGAAAGCCCAAGCCAGTTCGTCGAGCCAGGCTGGCTGTCGCCTTGCGAATGACACGTGTAGCAGCGATTCGGTGTTTTGTAAGTCGTGTCCACTATGTCGGTTTCCGTATATAGTTGAGCCCCAAAACGTAGAATGTTGATACACGGAACATGCCAGAAAAAATCCAGGAACGTGCCTGATCCATTTCGTGTCAACACTGCCCCGTTTGTGACTTCAGACTATAGGACTTTCGGTGCGGTGCAAAGGCAGAGAAGAAGCCCCCATCGAGGAAGAGAAAAGAGATGTCGCAGGCGCGCGACATGTCAGTGATTTCCACTGCCGATGGGGTCGGTTGAGTTCCTTTTTGTTCGGTGCACGCTTCGTTGGGGGTTTCCATGTTGTACAACAAGTCCAATAACGGTTTGGGTGTAGATTTGTCGGGGTAAATATGATGGAGTCCTGAGCTCGGTCGTGCCTGTTGTCATGGGTCTTCTGGGCTCTAAGAGGAAATAACTGCTTGTCGCTAGCCGGTCGATACCCATCCGAATTCGCTTTCGCCTGTTGTGTTGTGGCCTCTAAGAGGAAATAGTTGTTTGTGTTTAGCCGTGGTCGCAGGCATTTCGCAGCCTCCGGTTTTGCCTCTGGGCGGGCAAGTCGTCGGCGTTTCGCATCTAACCTTTTGGTTTGCCTTAGGAGCTGGGGTAGTCGCCGGTGTTGCGCAGCTCACCGTTCTGTTTTTTGGACGGAGTGGTTGCCGGCGTTTCGCAGCTTGCCTTTGCCTTTGGACGGGGTGGCCGCCGGCGTTTCGCACCTTACCTTTGCCCTTGCATGGGGTGATCACCGGCGTTGCACAGCTTACCTTTGTCCTTGGGTGGTGTGGTCGCTGGCGTTGCGCAATTTACCTGCTGCAGGAGCCGATCTGTTACGGCAATGTTTGGGGTACTGCAGTAGCCGATCTGTTACGGTATTGATTGGGATGCATCAAAAACCGATCTGTTACGGCTTTGTTTGTGTTGCTGCAGAAGCCGATCCGTTGCGGCCTTGTTTGTGTTACTGCAGGAGCCGATCTGTTACGGCATTGTTTGTGTTACTGCAAGAGCCGATCTGTTACGGCATTGCTTGTGGTTCTGCAGGAGCCGATCTGTTACGGCATTGTTTGTGGTACTGCAGTAGCCGATGTGTTACGGCATTGCCTGGTGCACTTCAGGACGAAATCTGTTGCTGAGTTTCTGTCTAGAATCAGACCTTGCACGACCTGACAAATTCCTAAACCGAAACCCAGCAGCGCCCAAAGTAGGATCTGCCCGCCTTGCTAAAAGCTTCGCTGTGTTGGTCAGAGTAGCAGGAAGATTGTTTATTGGTGGATGCTGATACGATTGTTAGAGAGCGCCGTCTCGTAGCCAGCCTTGTGCACATTAGGGTGCGGCATGGTAGTTTAGGGGGACGTTTATCACAGATGAGCTAGGACGGAACGTGTGGTACTTTAACACTAATTTCGTCTAGCATGCGCTGGGGATGCACCTCGATTTGTCGGCTTCCGCTCGGCGTTCTGATCGGTTTTGTTGTTGTGGTTTGGTTGAGTTTGGGGACTACGAAGTGTGGTGTGTTTCGCGGCAGAGGTGGCCGTGACGCCAAAGAAGCAAAAAAACGACGAGGCCGAAGAGGCACGTTGTGTTGGCAGCCGCCAGCGTTCAGTTGCACTTGAGTTGGGTTGGTTTCAGATGATCTAGTGGTTGTCACATGGCTGTGCATGGACTGTCGAAAACATGCAAAGAAATTTGATCTCACTTTGAAAGGAGGAACCCAAGAGCCCAGAAAGCGATGTGCAGCAGGAAGAGGCATCCGAGTTTTGACATGAGAATCTCTTCGTACAGAAGTGTGTGTGCTGATGCAGGCAACCGCGCATGATGTCACTCGAACCATACTTGACGAGCACGGGTCTTGTCTCTACAAGGGCACAGACTTCCAATTTTGGTTTTACGACAACGCGATCTACATGGCTGCGCTGTCTCGGAAGCGCCGTGCTCTGAAGGGCACTATCGTGCACATGTTGACCGGCGGCGAGACTCGGGTGGACGACAGCGGCGAGCATCTCAACGGCGGTAAGCTCTGGCAACCGACCAAAACCACGAAAGTTTTCGCGATGGAACAAGGAGCTATTCATATTGAACCCTAAAGCCTAAAGCTATGCTTTCAAAGTTTTCGGAAGCTCCCCGAAGCCTTCAAGCCCAAAACCCTAAATCCTTAATGTGGTTCAACCTGCTCAAGCCTTAAGCGGCTCAAAGCTGCTGGTCACGGGATGCATGTAGAACACACCCGCGAGTGGGCTTAAACCGGACCTCCTCCTGCTCCTAATCTTTCCCCTACCCCTACGACTACTCGTTGCAACTGCTGCTGCTGCTGCTGCTGCTGCTGCTGCTGCTGCTGCTGCTGCTGCTACTGCTACTGCTACTGCTACTGCTACTACTACTACTACTACTACTACTGCGGATAGCTGCTACTGGTACTGATCATAATGGTAAGAGGTAAAATGCAAACCCTGGTGAGAATATGAGCTCGCAGGACAGAGCGTGCCAGAGACCACCTGCACCATCGCACAGATGATTGAGCGGTTCTCCATTACAGAGGTCTATGGAGCGGGGAAGATCAAGGGTGGCAAGATACCCAAGGCCGAGCTTATGCGTGCCACATAGCGGCTTGTGATTGTGGGGGCTTGAGGTTCGAGGTCTGGTGTCACATGGTTCCGACGTGACAAGTGGGGTTGAGAGTTGAGGGCGACCTTTGGAGGGTTTAGAGTGGTGTGAAATTTCAATATTTCCGGCTTCGAGCATTTTCGACGGTGTAATGTTGTAACCGTGGCCTTCCTACATGGCACGGGAGACGTGGCATAAGCTTGCGTTTTCTGCTTCCGCTCGTGTGGATGAACCCTGAACTCGAATATGGTGGCTTGTGGGGTTTAGCTCTGGGGCTATAGGCTTTGGGCATTTAATACGGGTCTCAACTTCGGGTTCGAAGCGAACAGCGCATCTTTGTAATTGTTAATCCTTCGCGGCAGATTGGGCGACAACTCAGTCTAGATTTATAGGATGCGTTGAAAATCGAACCGTATCTCAAAACCGCGTAATCTCTGTAAACAATTGGGGTAATTGACGTGAAATCACTACCAATGAACTGATCCTTGAATTCCAGCACACATGGCTCTTCCTGAATCAGCCACAGTACTTGCGCCAGGCAAAATCGATCGTGTGGCTGCCGGAGAAGGAGGATACAACAACCTTCAATTTGGTGCTGAGCAGTAAGACTCTAGACTGTTTTTTCGTGTGCAAGGCGGAAAATGGAAGGCTGGTACCAAACGGAGTCGCCGTGCTGCTTGCAAAAAGCAGAACCGTAAGTCCTGGGATGCCGGTTCTTCAGATCATGTAGACCAAGTGTCGGAATTTTTCCGAACGTGAGCAGTGCTTGGTGGGCGAACTCGGCTGTGAGCAGGAAAAAGACGTGTCAGCTTCAGCATTCGAGAAGATTGGGGTTTCTGGATTGGCCCGGTTTATTCATCATCGCAAATCGAGAGTCAACTCCCCTGCCCCCCCATAGGGCGCAGCCCCGTAATACTAACAACAACAATGATATTAATAATAATAAATAGTAACAACAACAGTAGTATTGATAACAAGAAGAAGGAAAATCACTAAGAGCCGAGATGCTTGAAGAATCAAAAGAGAATCCCCCCTGCAGCTACTTACAAGTGTCGTGTTATGTCTGACCGAAACCCTGTTCAGATTGTAAAGAACCCTATATTGTGGGTCGCGTATGCCTGATGATCCACCTCCCTGGGTTTAGGGTTTAGGGTTTAGGGCTTGGGGTTTAGGGTTTAGGGCTTAGGGCTTAGGGTTTAGGGCTTAGGGAGCAACAGCGAGCGGATCATAAGCCATACGCCAGCCTATATTGTAGTCAGCTGGGGGTCTAAAGTACGCTCATGGGTGCCTGCCTACTTGTCCACTTAACCAACCCAAAGGTAAGGTTTCTATATATACAAGGAATTACTAGTAGGCTGTAGGAAGACTTATGACCTGCCCAGAGACCCCAACACCCCTTAACTAAAGGATCCACCTCAAATTATATAGATGCATCCTCAGTAAGATTTAATGTAGGAACCTTGTTAAGCAACCCTGGCCCTATAAACCCCAAATATCTTCGGGCTCATATGAAGGACCCCAAACAAGACCCAGGGTTTCTGAATCAGGTTCCTATATTGCCCCAGAGCCCTCGTCTAATTATTAAGGCCCCAATATGAGGCCTCTTGGATTTAAGAGGCGGTTTAGGATTTGGGACTTCGAAGCAACGAAAATGGATGGGTCAAGAGTGTCACTGAAGAGGTTCGTTTCGCCCATTATTCAGGGGCCTTAATAATTGGAATACGGTTCTGGGGCCCACTATATTTGATTATTATGAGGAACCCCCCAAATACTGTTGGTAATCATTTAGGCTTGTATATTTCATAGATTACCTGCTACCTCGCAAATCTGCAACCCTAATGTTTTCAGAGCTTAAAACCCGGAAACTCCGAAACCTTACACTCTAAAACCTTACCCACGACAAGGTAAAAGGTTGCCTTAGGAGGCAAGCCTACAAAGAGGAAGCCAGCAAGTTCCTAGTGTCTGGAGAGCCTGGATTCCTCGACCTTCCTTGTCACCTAACCCTACAGCCTAAACCCTAAACCCTAAACCCTAAACCCTAAACCCTGAACCCTGAACCCTGAACCCTGAACCCTGAACCCTGAACCCTGAACCCTAAACCCTAGCTTGTTGTATTGAAATGCACAAGTTTTGCCTCGGACTTTGGTAAAAAGTCCTACGTACTGTCATCCCCATCAGCTGACAGTTGGCCTTCGCCCCTTTAAGGTTCTCTTTAGGGTTCCTTTTGGGGATCTTATAAGGCTTCCTTTTCGGGATCTTATATGGGTGGTTGTCAAAATTATAGTCCCTTTTTGGGTCCTGATTATAATACGGCACCTATTATTTAGGGTACCCCAAAAGGGACCATAATTTTGACAACTACCCATACGGCTTCCTTTGAGGGTTCCTTGGTTCAAGATACTGCGGCCGTGAGCTCGGAGTTGACACGGTGACAAGTACATCCTCGACGTATATGGGTTTAGGGTTTAGGGTTTAGGGGTACCTCATTTTGGGGTCCTTATAATCAGGATACTACTATTTAGGGTGCTATATTAGGGTCCCCTATTTTTGGAAACCCCCATATCCGCAAAAGCTTCATCACAAGCCGCTTTCCAGCTCATACCACATTCATAAACCACTGAAAACTGAACCCAAGGAAATCAAAACCCTGTAGCTGCAAATAAGCAAAAACCAAACCCAGGGACACTTTAGCCCCCTAACCACACACACCTAAACCCTAAACCCTGAACCCTAAACCCTAAACCCCAAACCCTGAACCCTAAACCCTAAACTCCAAAACCGTAATCTCCTAAACTCCTCAACCCCTTATAACCTCCAATGCCGGAGAGCCCCTGGTCTCAGCCCGCGTTCGCGCGGCCGTCAACCTGCGGGAACGGCCTCCGCCGGGACTCGACGTGACGTTGAGGCTTTCCCGTTAGTGCTCTTCGGAATCATGTTTTCTTTCCCTTAGCATCAAAATAGCCCAAAAGCCGTATATAATAGGGTCTTTGGGCTTGAAAGCCTTAAAATATGAGTCCTTTGAGGGTAAAGCTTTTCATGGCAGTAGAATTCCGACAAAAAGGCACGTTCATGAATTGTGGTTCTAAGGCCGCTCATGTTCCTGGGTCCACCATTTGAACCCCCTTCCTCTTTAAGAAGTGCTCTGGTTTAGGGTTTAGGGTTTACGGTTTAGGGTTTAGGGTTTAGAAGAATAAGCAACCTGGAGTCACCCCCGACACAATCCATGAATCCCCATAAGCCATAAGCCCTCTGATATTTTTGGGTTCAGGGCCAACTCCCTGTTGACCCTAAGCCCTAAACCCTAACCCCTGTTCCCTAGTCCCCCCTCATCGACAGGGTTCAGGGCCGGCAGACTCCCTGGTCGTAGGGTTTAAGTTTGGGGGTTACCCGAAACCATAAACCCTAAACCCTAAACCCTAAACCCTAAAACCCTAAACCCTAAACCATAAACCCTAGCCCTTGGTTTAAGGGTTTTTTACTTCGTAGTCCAAAGCCCAACTTAGAATCTTCTTGTGTTGTGATGAGTTGCATGTGGGGCCACGTTTAGGGTGTAAGGGCAGTGGTACATGGTTGCGGCCGTGGCCGCTCCGAAGTGCAAGTGCCCAGAATGTGCTACGAAGATCGAGGTGGTTGACCAGTATTGCCGCGAATGCGGCGCTGCAAACCCGTCTTATCATGCGGATCTGCACATGGTGCACAAAAGCAAGCGACGCAGCGGCTGGAAGGCGATCCCATAGACAATACAACATTAGATGTTTGAGTTGCTAATGAAAGGTTCGAGGCAGTTGGAAGTGGTTTACGGCCTTGGGGGTAGTAAACTTAGGTGGCTTATGAGTTTAAGCCGTTGGGCGTAGTAAACTTCGGGGTGCGGAGGCCAAGCAAATATTTGTTGTGCGATCGTGCCTGCAAAAGAGGCAAATTTGGAATGGAAGGGGGGGCAGCCGACAAGCCAATGCGAAACAGAGCTCGTGGAGAAGGTGGGCGACTTCCTGGAGAAGAATCGCAAGCGCAAAAAGGACGAAGCAGCACCTGTTGCAGATGCCCCAGCTGCAGAGGGCGTGCCTGTACTCCCAGAGCAACCTGGTCCTAGCAAGCCTGCAGTTGCAGAGGTTGCAGCGGCCGTGCTTGCACAGCCGCAAGAACTCGACCTTAACAACCCAAACGATTGCATAAGGTACCTTGAAGAGGTCTACCCTGGGTACGGGGCCATGGCCCTTGGGGTAGCGCCGGATGCATTCCAAAAAGTCTCCAAAAGCGCCCTTGTCAGTGAAGTTTCGGAGAGACATCATCGATGCAGGAACCATGCAGACCAAGCAGAAGCGTAGGAGTTGGTTGAAGACTTGGGACAAGCAGCGAAAGCTGCAGTTTGTTCCTTTTCCAGTTCAAGCCAAGGAGACGAAGTCGTAACTCCCGAATCTTGGGGAAAAATCGCACCATGGAGTCTGTGAAGTTTAAGGGTTTAGGGGCTTAGTTTAGGTGCACGAAGCCCCTGGTGGAGGGCTACATGCCGGATGCCCGTGTTCTAGGGTGGGGTTTTGTATTCCGAAAACATGCTCAGACAAGAGGTTATATGGTTTCGGACAGGTTGTTTCAACCCAGCAATATGGTTTCGGATAGGGTTTTTCAGACCAGGAAATATGGCTTCGGATAGTCTATTAGTTCAGGAATAGGTTTTCGGGCAAGGTCTTGTAGTCCGAAAATACAGTTTCTGACAGGTCTTTCCAGTCCACAAAGATGGTTTCGGATATGGTGCCCTAGACCAGTCGTTTCGTTCTTTTGAGTGGTAAGTGTGGTGTTTTACACGTATAAGGCTTTAACAATAGAGAAAGAAGTCGTGCCTGCATGTTGCCATATGCATTTCCCGCAGTACTTGTCTAGATACTTTTCACACTTTATGTCCTTTCCTGCTAGTAAGCAAGGGGGTGATGTGACCATGATGTGACCCCATCACATCTGCCCAATAGTACTGGTAGAATCTTCCAGCACAAACTGATGTGACTAAGGCCCCCCACTGTATTCTCAAGCTTTGAACTTAGTCGCCTGGGTCTTGTGGAATTATTCTGCTGTCTGGACAGTTCATGTGTTGAAGGGTTTAGACGGATTTATTTGTAGGGTCGCGGTACGTCGTACTCAAGCCTTTGTTGTAGCTTCGGGCTCAGGGTGGCTCAATGGTTCTAGAGTTATTGGGTTCAAGGGGCTCCTGATTTTCCCAACAACCTATGCTGAAGGTAGTACACTACCAGAGACACTGGTAGTAGTAAGCGCATTTTTTGGTGATAGTACTACATACCCATGCTTGCGGGGGATCATTGTGAGGAGTCGCAGCCACGGCTCTAGACCTGGACGGTGAAGGAACACCAAACGCTACACCTCACCAGGGCTCGTAAGTGCATGATGCGAGGTTGATCTTGGACTGAAACGTTTTCGGGCTTGCCATTTAGAGCTGTGAGCTCTGGGATTCGTCGTTTTAGGGCCCTGGGTTTGGGGTTTGGAAGATGACCTAGGGCTACTTAAACGATCATGGGAGTTAGTCACGAGGGCTATAAATAAGGTCACTATTCACCATATTTATAGTTACGTATAATTCAATGAAAGCACACTCACTAAGTCCCATGATCCCCTAAGCAGGCTTGCTGAGAAGGCGGCTTTTGTTAAGCTGTTCATTGCGAGCCTGGCATTTTGCGATCTCGGGTGAATTCTAGTGTTACGGGTTCGGATATATGTGATACA